CTGGAGGAGGAGCAGAAGGGGTTAGTTGGGGTGAAGTTGAAAGGGGGGTTTGAGGGCGGTTGGGGTGGGAGGGGGGGTGGGGGTGGGGGGGAGAGGGAGTAGCGGTTCAGTGGGGTTATGGTTTGAGTTGGGGGGAGTAAGGTCACGGGAGACAAGGTCAAAGTGTTATAAGGTCAAAGTGTCATAAGGTCAAAGTGTTATAAGGTCAAAGTGTTATAAGGTCAAAGTGTTATAAGGTCAAAGTGTTATAAGGTCAAAGTGTTATAAGGTCAAAGTGTCATAAGGTCAAAGTGTCATAAGGTCAGGGGGGTATAAGGTCAAAGTGTTATAAGGTCAAAGTGTCATAAGGTCAGGGGGATATAAGGTCAAAGTGTTATAAGGTCAGGGGGATATAAGGTCAAAGGGATGTAAGGTCACGTACGATTTGTTTGGTTGATTGTTATTTACTTTTTATTATCTTAATTTATTGGTTCGTGTTGTATTTTGTATGTTTATTATCCATATTTTTCACTTATTCTTAGCATTTGGGAACGATGGAATTTGAATGTTCAACACGTAATGAACAATCATATGTTGTAACACCTGAAATAAATCAGCATGAAAGTGACTCGCATCCATTAATTGTAAAAAATGACCCCCCCCAGAGGAGTAGTAGTAGTAATAGGAGGAGGAGGAGGAGGAGGAGGAAGAGGAGGAGGAGGAGTAGGAGAAGAAGGAGGAGGAGGAGGAGGAGGAGGAGGAGGAGGAGGAGGAGGAGGAGGAGGAGGAGGAGGGAGGAGGAGGAGGAGGAGGAGAAGGAGGAGAAGGAGGAGGAGGAGAAGGAGGAGGAGGAGAAGGAGAAGGAGGAGGAGGAGGGAGGAAGAGGAGGAAGAGGGGGAGGAGGGGAGGGGAGGGGAGGCAGGACAAGCCAAACCTAATCAGTTAATGCAAAATATCCTCCATTGCAGCTGCAACATCATGCTTACTGGTCGGCCTGCCCCTATGGCTCGTTTCGGACTCTGTTGATTATGTCAACAGAGCCCGAGCAGGAAGTGACGGCTCAATTAAACATGGCTTGTTAATTAGCAACGACATCTCATATGGCGACTGCTGGCAACTGTGCGTAATAAATTTCGCCTCGTGTCATCCGCTTTCCGATATGATAGGTGGGTAATGATATTAGCAAACATCATGATAATTGGTGATGATGGTGGTGGTAGTAATGATGATGATGATGATGATGATGATGATGATGATGATGATGATGATGATGATGATGATGATGATGATGATGACGATGATGATGATGGTGATGATGATGATGATAATGATGATGATAATGATAATGATAATGATAATGATAATGATAATGATAATGATGACGATGCCGATGACGATGATGAAGATGATGATGATGATGATGATGATGATGATGATGACGATGACGATGATGACGACGATGACGATGACGAATAATAATAACACTGATAATAATAATAAAAGTATTTTAGTGACAGCTTCTCTTGTTCAGAGAATACAACTATAAAATTAATTTTCAAAGGCGGCGGAAAATGAAAGGGGAAAAAGAGACTAGTAAAAAAATGATGATCCTTTGTTTCCTGAACAACCCAGGCATCAAAGTAAGGCCCTCGGTTGACTTCCTGTCGTAGAGGCGCGTAAACAAGTCAACAAACAAAAAGGTTATTTACAATCGCTGTTTATTAATATGTTTTTTTTTTTATACGTAGCACAGTTTCTTTGCCTTTTCCTTTCTTTCTCTCTTTTTTTTCTCTTTTTTCTTTTCTGAGCATCGATATTCTTTGCAATTTATATTGTGTTCGAGTTTAGCTTGAAAATGCGGTCATTGGAAAAGGAATAAAAGAGAGGTGGGGAGACTCTTATAAATCCCGTTTGAGCTCTTGATGGACACTCTTGCCCGAATCAACAGAAGGCAAGGATCTCATCAAATTCTTTTGAATAATGAGAGAAAACGAGGAAGGTAGACGGAGAGAGAGAGAGAGAGAGCGAGTGATAGACAAAGAGAAAGATCGAGTGAGCGTGTGAGTATGTGAGGAAGATATATATATATATATATATATATATATATATATATATATATATATAGAGAGAGAGAGAGAGAGAGAGAGAGAGAGAGAGAGAGAGAGAGAGAGAGAGAGAGAGAGAGAGACAGACAGACAGAGAGAGAGAGAGAGAGACAGACAGACAGAGAGAGAGAGAGAAGAAACAAAGAGCTAAAGACTCACACACACACACACATACACCTAACACCCTAGAGTGGTCTTCATAAAACAAATCCCAACGAATAAAGACGTTTTGACTATTACACTGGCACTCTTTTCCTACTTTATGAAGGCGAAGTAACAAGATTTCGCGTCACCCAAAACTAGTTAGCTTCTCACAGTGTCTTGAAATGTGAGTTTGTGTTTGTCATTTTGTTTGTGTTTATCTATCTGCTAATAGATTTTTGCCAACTGATTAATTGTTTTTTATCTGACTAACTCCTGTGTTTTTTTTTTCTATTGATTTTTTTAAATGTTTTGAGTCATTAGTTATAACTATCTTATTTACATGATAATAACTGGCTGACTAACTGGATATTAATAGTAGATTAATAATGATTCAGTTCTGCTTATCTGGATACTCTGGTGAGCTTATTTGTTAAATATATTTTCTTTTACATTGATCGATGGGGTTAATAAAGCTTAAAATAACAGACAGACGAAAAAAATGACTGAATTCAGATACATGATAATTTTCTTAATTCTCTATCGCTTAAAAAAATGATTAAAGAAACACGAAGAATAAACTGACAAATAACAAAATCCGGAGCCAATCCACCTGCGGGCGGCCTCTGGCAACGAGCCACGGTGCCACAGATGCCCCGGCGGCGGCAGATGGCACTGATGGCACTTAAGAGGGCCACTCCATCACGATACATCATTCATAAATAATCCCACGGCGCTGGATTTTTATTCCGAGATTTATTAAAGGCGAGAAGTCACCGCGCCACGAAAAGCGGGCGGCATCGCGCATCTGGCATGGCGAATGAAGTTAGCTTTTTCCCGCCTTTATTCAATTTCGTTGTCGTAGACTTACGGGCGAAATTTCGGATACAAAAGGACGCGGGGGAAAATTCACTCTGATCTCATTCTGGGAAAAAAAACAATTATTATCCCCTTTTTTCTTGATGGGATGATATATGGCGAGATATGATGGATGATTATGTGTTTTAGTGGTATTTCTGCTTCTCTGTTTTTATTTCATTTTACTCTCATCTGAGAGAGAGAGAGAGAGAAGTTCTCTCTCTCTCTCTCTCTCTCCCTCTCTCTCTCTCTCTCTCTCTCTCTCTCTCTCTCTCTCTCTCTCTCTCTCTCTCTCTCTCTCTCCCTCTCTCTCTCTCTCTCTGTCTCTCTCTCTCTCCCTCCCTCCCTCTCTCTCTCTCTCTCTCTCTCTCTGTCTCTCTCTCTCTCCCTCCCTCCCTCCCTCCCTCCCTCTCTCTCTCTCTCTCTCTCTCTCTCTCTCTCTCTCTCTCTCTCTCTCTCTCTCTCCTCCTTCTGCCCCAGCTTCTTTCTCTTTCCATATCCCCAGGATAACATTTTTATGATACACATTAATCATTGGAGGTAAACTGCGTAGTACTATCGAGTTGGAGAGAGAGGGAGAGAGAGAGAGAGAGAGAGAGAGAGAGAGAGAGAGAGAGAGAGAGAGAGAGAGAGAGAGAGAGAGAGAGAGAGAGAGAGAGAGAGAGAGAGAGAGAGAGAGAGAGAGAGAGAGAGAGAGAGAGAGAGAGAGAGAGACAGACAGACAGACACACATACATACAGACATACACGAATACATACAGACAGATAAAAAACAAACAAACAAACAGGCATACAAACAGACAAAACCAATTCCACCTTTATGTCCCTTCTCTCGAATTACATTGTGTTTTGTGATGTAACAAAATTTTACGACATATGTGGTTAATATTGCCTTTATTACCCGATAGGTTTTTGACGCGTTTGTGATTGTTGGAGAAGTAAAGGAGGGCAGAAGAAAGTGAGGAGGAAGGATAAGGGGGAATAATTGATGTAAGATGGGAAATGGGGAATTATGAAACTGATGGGAATGTGGAAATGCGATTATGATATCTACATAGTGAAAGATGAGCATGTACACACACACACACACACACACACACACACACACACACACACACACACACACACACACACACACACACACACACACACGCACGCACACACTCACACACGCGCGCGCACGTACGCACACACACACGCGCACACATATATGCATACATACATATAGGTATGTAAATATATTCATATAGATACACACACAGACACAAACGCACACATACACACACACACATACACACGCACACATATATATATATTATAGGACAAATATTCTATAGATAAATGCAGATACATAGATAGATGGATAGATAGACAGAAAGATAGATAAGTAGATAGACAGATAGATATGTATATATATGTATGTCTATGTGTGTGTGTATGTGTATGTATATATGTGTGTGTGTGAGTGTGAGTGTGAGTGTGTGTGTGTGTGTGTGTGTGTGTGTGTGTGTGTGTGTGTGTGTGTGTGTGTGTGTGTGTGTGTGTGTGTGTGTGTGTGTGTGTACGGTGTGTGTGTGTGTGTGTGTGTGTGTGTGTGTGTGTGTGTGTGTGTGTGTGTGTGTGTGTGTGTGTGTGTGTGTGTGTGTGTGTGTGTGTGTGTGTTTGTGTGTGTGTGTGTGTGAGAGAGAGAGTGTGAGTGTGAGTGTGAGTGTGAGTGTGAGTGTGAGTGTGAGTGTGTGTGCGTGTGCGTGTGCGTGTGTGCGTGTACGTGTGTGTGTGAGCACAAAGACGCCTGCCTGAGCGCCGCAAGAAACCCAAAGAAGCAGAGACGCGGGAAAAAATCCGCAAAACAAAAGGCAACATGTAAGAGAGACAAGATCAAAGAGGCAAATAGAATGAAGAATTAGAGAGAAAGGA